ACACTAAACTGCTGATTTGCCGGACACAAAATTGCTGATTTCCAAATTTTAAACTTGAACGTATTTTTTTCCGAAACGTTTTTATGAGTGACATAAGAGTTTCGAATGTGTCTCAAGTTTGATGTATCGTTCTGGAACTTTCTCCCTGCCCATAAACCACTAGCAATCACGAAAATGGGTTTCCCCTTCCTCCGCTCATCAGCGGTTGTCTCTATCACCCTATGGCCCCGTATGGGTGCAGATAGATGCTCGGGGAACACGCCCATTGGGCGGACATCGTGGTCAATCGAGACGTTTCTGGCAGCCTTTGGTGCAGTTACTTGTACGACCTATATCTTGGGGAAATGTGTTCGAACTTGTCATGGCATGTAGATATAAGGAATGCTGTTGTTTGTTTAAAGCTAGGTTGTCTCCCTTTTAGACTGCGCTGCATTTATAACATAGTTCTAGACGCCCCATCAGGTTTTGTAGTAGGGGGGTGGGGGAGACGTGGAATGTACATTCTACGTAAATATTTCAATCTTTTACGTAATTCTTTGCTTTTCTTATAATATTGTAAACAAATGATGCCTTCACGACAAACTTTAAATAAAATATATCGCCTTCTGTCGATTTAAAATAATATATATTGAGTACGTTCACAAATTACGAAGTATTTTAAATTATCTTAATTAATATACAATCTAATTTTGTTTCTTTGTTTAGGTTAAATTTTTAAAAATATTCAATAACAAATTTTGAAAGTGCGTTTTTTAAAAAAATGTTCAGCACATCCGTTTTGAGGGTACGTTGCTATAAAGGATAATTAAGACAGGGGGGTTAAGGACGTACCCAGATTTGGCGAAGTTGGTCCAGTAGGTCATCACAGCCTCCGCCATCATCCGCTCAGCGTCGTTGTAGACGGACGGGAACGGGGAGGTGCCGTTTACCAGGGGCGACCCGAAGACGTAGGGCAGCTCATCACCATGGATACCTAGAAAAACAGAAGGACAGGTCGACGTGAGCCGATTGTTAACTCATTCGTCAGTATTACGGGAAAAGTCGCATAGCCCTAGGGTGAGACATGCCATGTATCCGAATGTGACACCTCTTATAATCGTGCGTGGATATAAAAATTAAAAATATCCACTGTCAAAAAATAATAGAACCTCTTGCCCCCCCCCCCTCTCTTTAGTTTCACCCCAAATGTCATTCTCAGACCACCTACCCTCACTAAATAATGTCTTTCAAACCATCGCAACATTTTTGTGTTGTGTATTAAAGTGTCAGTTCTTGACATAAAATCGAAGGTTGTTATTTAAAAGTGGGCCAAATACATTTTCAGCTCACTGGTGGGATTTAAAATAAATAGGCTTTGTAGACGTTCGCTTTGTACTTACATATACACAGGAAAAATGGGTTACCACTGGGGAGAGTTGGAGAAAACAACACAGTAAGGCCTATTCAGACATCCATCAGACAACAGCTCCCCCCCCCCTTCCTCCCTCTCTCAGAACAATATCACTAACACCCACACAAACAACAATACCACCCAATTCATACAGAAAAAAGTACCACCACACTAACACTTGCAACAGTACTACCACCAAGTCAAACAGATACCCCCAACTCATACATACAACATTACCATCCCCACTAATACAGAAAGTGCACCACCCACACTCATACAGACAACATTACCATCCCAACCCATATATAAAAATGTACCACTCCCACTCATACAGATAACAATACCCCCCACTCATACATAAAAAATGTACCAAACCACTCATACAGAAAACAGTACTATCCTCACCCTGAAAACAGTACTCCCCCCACCCCTACAGACATCCCCCCACCACACCCATCCCCAAGACAGCACATAGTTCTATTTACCTTGGACGTTATCTTCGCTTTCATTCTGCGGGTCTGATTGGGTTGAGTAGCCGAAAGAATACAAATACGTATCGGCCTTCTCCGCGTGGTAGTTGGCCATTTGTATCAGAGGGGCCACGTACTGGCCATCACTCAGTAGCTCCAGAATACTGGCCCGGTTGACCCGGGGGTCGGGGGGCCGGCTCCAATCAGTGTAATGATGGTCTAGAATTTCAAAGATTTTCTGCCGGTGGTACCGAAACACATTCTGAACATAGGTGCGAATAATTTGAGTTTTCCGAAAATCGGAAATCCCTTTCCGGATATCGGATTGCTTCAAGTAGGCGTAAGCTTCGTTTTTAGTAATCCCGAACATGACAGGAACCGACGCGAATTTCGAATGTGGTTCCTTGATAAGTTCACTTAATTCTTTAGGAAGAACGGACCCTGTGTCTTTTGTTGGAGCGAAGCAGGAATAGTATTTAGGCGCTTCCGGGGCGGACCTGACCAAATCCGCGAACGATCTCTCTCGCAGACAGTGAGTAAGCATGAGCGTGTTTGGGGTGTGGTGTGAGCAGTTCACGTTCATGGCCAGTTTCTCCATGCACCATTTGGGGTCGTAGGACATGGCCCAGGTGCTGGTGGCCGAGCCGCTCTGGAGGATGGCCCTTTGGAAGTAGTTTACCTTGTTCTCTGAGACTTTAAAAAAAAATATTTTCTCTTTTTGGTTTAGTGAGTAGGATTTAAATTTAATTAAACACAATAATTGGGAAAAAATAAATGAAAGCAATATTATTATTAATTGCATATGATTTAATTTATTATTAAGTATTTTAAAAATTAGAGACACGTCAATTAGAATCCTTAATAATAATTTCGTGTGTTGATATACTTACATTTAAAAAAATATTTTTAAAAATAGCTTTACAATGAACACAATGAAAATATCTTGAATATTATCTAAGTTAATTATTTGTTATAATATTTAAATTACAATATTAAAAATGCATGATAAATGTTAAAAACCTATTTGATTTTACAAATATATATATATATATATATATATATATATATATATATATATATATATATATATATATATATATATATATATATATATTTATTTATAAATACTTAAATAAAATAATTAAAAAAATAAAATAAAATACCTGACACGAAGGGAGATAACAAGAGTAAATTAACAAGTGCTGCACCAGTCCCGTGTCCGAAAAGAGTTATCTTCTGCGGATCTCCACCGAAGCTTGCGATGTTTTCCCTCAGCCATAGCAAGGCTTGTGTGATGTCTAGGAGGGCGTAATTCCCCATGGCGAAGTTGTCCCCCGTGGTTAGGAAACCTGTCAGAACAATCAGTGTTACGTCATCATTCGCCAGGATAATTGAAGGGCGACCACAGTTATTCATTACCCAATACAAACGACGCCATACGAATGAAGATGATCTATGAAAGAACTTTTATTTTTTTATTTTTTTTGTGCTTTTAAAAACTCACATCGTAATACTTTAGCTGAGACTGTGTTGAAACAGTAGATGCTTTCTTTTTTGATTATGAAAGCTAGTATCCCCCATATAAACACACACACACACACACACACACACACACACACACACACACACACACACACACACACACACACACACACACACACACACACACATATATATATATATATATATATATATATATATATATATATATATATATATTAAACCTGCTGTATATGGAAGTATTGAGACACCTTAGCATAAAACCTACCGATTTAATAATACACTCCTGCATTTAAACTATTGATTTAACTAACCAGTCCAGCGTTAAACGTAATAAGATATCTTACCACCATAGCATGTTGATGACTGAAACCCAATAGACACATTTTTGAGACTAAAACCCCATAATTCTATTTCGTAATCATCAGTGCTTCACTCTCTCAGCCATGGTGGTGGAAAAGTTAGCGCCCCTTATTCTATCCTAGATTTTAGAACCATCGTAATTCGTATCGTTTGTCTAAATCGATGGCCAAGTTATAAATAACATAAGTGGTGGTCAAGTCATTCGATGTGAAAACCGCGTCGATTGTACGCACGAACATCTACTGCACACTTGTACATGTACTGTACACGTTTATATAAAACATGCCAATTAAACACAATATAAACAAATCGAGTTTTTGACAACAATATTGTACAGCAAATAATGTTTTTGTTTCTCAAGGCTGGTAATAATATTCTTGCTTGTTGTACATTTTAAAACAATTGTAACGTAACGTAGCGGACCGCGTGGTCTAATGGTAGAGCTCAACACTACTACACGAAAGTCTGCAGTTCGGATCCCAGACTTGAGTGTTCACCTTGAGTTTACTCAGCTCTGATGCATACCCGACTCAAATTAAAGAAAGGAAATGAGGCACAGTAATGAATATCCTATCCATTTAAATGTCCAGGCCACACGTAAACACTACTTCAACTGCCTTATGGATCATCAGATCCCTGAGGTAATTTACTCTCAATTTATCTTTAAAATAACTGTTTTCTGCATTGTAAGATTCAAAAATAAACTCGGTTTCAACCTAGTATTTTTTTATATCATCATCATCATTTCCCGTTCGTGCCCGAGACACATGGGGCAGATGAAGTAGAGTTTATCTGTTTCAGGGACCTCGGCATATGAAAGGATAGTGTAGTCAACACTATGCCCAACCGCCTTTGCTTTCCCAACATGAGATAGCTACCAATCGGAGCTAGGTGGGACGTTCTACTTACTTTAACCCAGATTCGAACTCGAAACTTAGCAGTCAAGCTCTCTATCGCTACAGTCCCCTAAATACATTATTTATCCATTAAGAAAATCTGGAACGAGTCGAAGATAATAGTTAAAATCTCATTATTGTATGGTATGTTGAGTGCTCGTTCTTGCATAGAACTGAACATGTGCCAACACACGCATGCGTCATACAACTTATCCACGACTTGAGAAACTCATTCGCCTAATAACATAAAAACTCGCTCCAGAATTAAAGCCTACAGCCGACCTGCATATTGACTTGCCTTGTCTGAAAATATAATACTGAGTCCGATCTATTTTTAGAACGTTATCTGATTTCATTTCGCTATTAAAAAATGACATAAAAGGGGAAAGAAATCGGTTCGGCTAAAAGCTGAACCCCTGCGCTACGCTCCGGGGATAATTATCCTACAAATGCCCCTCCTTGGGTTCAGGCTGACTGGGCACGGATCAAATGTCGACCCCCTTAGATGGTGATGTCGGGAGAGAGATCAAAGGCTATCAGATGGGATCTCTTCGTGTCGTCAAGCTGAGATGTTGGAAGCCATTCTCTACGTGTGGTGCAGTGGTTAGAGCAGGGGCAGGGCAGTGGGGAGGACAGTGGGTAGGACAGGGCAGTAGGTAGGACAGGGCAGTTGATGGGGCAGGGCAGTTGGTGGGACAGGGCAGTGGGTAGGACAGGGCATAGGGTAGGACATGGCAGTGGGTAGGACAGGACATTGACTACGATTGGATATTAGGTAGTGCAGGACAGTAGGTAGGTAGGACCGGACAGTATGTGGGACAGGATAATGGCTACGAACGAAAATTTGCAGAGTATTTGCTAGGACAGAGCAGTAGCTGTTACGTGACGGTGTCTAGGACACGACAGTGTATAATGTATATGAGAGGACAGTGGGTAGGACAGGGTAGTCGGTAGGCCAGGGCAGTGGGTAGGACATACTAGGACAGGACAGTAGCTGTCACGTGAAAGTGTCTAGGACAAGACAGTGTATATGTAAGGACAGTGGGTAGGACAGGGCAGTCGGTAGGCCAGGGCAGTGGGTAGGACATACTAGGACAGGACAGTAGCTGTCACGTGAAAGTGTCTAGGACAAGACAGTGTATATGAGAGGACAGTGGGTAGGACAGGGCCAAGTAGGACAGGAAATCTTAGGACAGGACATCTCAGGACAGGACAGTATCCTTGACAGGGAAACGGCTGATGCAAGAGCTGTCAATCACATTCCAGATTGATACTGTCTCTCATGCGTTGTGGAAATGCACGTGCCAATCACGCGGGGAGAGAGAAATTGACATTCTCAGAAACTTTGTCTTTAACGCTAATAGATCAGCAACAGGAAAAAACTGTTTGATCAAAATGAGATATTTTTTTTGGTAAAATCCAATTGACATACATCTTATTTAAACACAATAAAAAAAATAAACATTTATAGATTGTTTAAATGTAATTATAATTACTGGATATCCACCTTCACGTATTATAAAAGTGGGAATAAATTGCGGCTGAAAACTATGTAATTAATATCTATACCTATTGTAACTTTTGTCTTTTTGACAATGTATATCAATAAATAGATACAGCGAAGTGGTAATTAATACACACACACGAACACACACACACACACACACACACACACATATATATATATATATATATATATATATATATATATATATATATATATATATATATATATATATTATATATATATATATATATATATATATATATATATACGAAGTCGACGTCAAATACATAAAAAATAAGAAAATAAGGCGCACGTTTGAAATCTTCGAAGATTCCTCTTAAAGGGCAATAACTCTCATTACTCCTGAGCCTTACGCAAGTTCCCGACACTCTGAAAGCTTTGTGTCAATAAACACGAATCATTTCCCCTAGCACTGAATCATTACAATGTGTTGTTTACAATTACTCTAATGTCGTCCCCGCGTCTATTTCCCCCTTCAACTCTCCCGGTGCCTACCCGAACATAAACACAGTTTCCGCCCCTGCCGACATTGTTTAGACCACGAAACCCATCTCCCCTGTATCGCAGGCTGAAGATCGATAGTCCGACATTTGACATCGATACACCAGCAGCTTTGTCTAGCCGGTGAATAGACATCTACATCCGTGGGGACGTATCGATTTTAGATCGAAGTATTGGTTACCCGTTATCTTTGATTGGTTTGTATATACAGAATAACTGGGTTAGGTTTACGAGTAATATTTATGTCGATTTATAATTAGATTATGTAGATGTTTTCGATCCTTTCAAATTTTTTATTTTGTTAAATACAGCAGGATATGGAACGGCGTGGTGTGGTTATAGAGCGCTCGAATGCTAACTATAATCTCTAGTTCGGATCTCGGTAGTGACTTAAGTCTGCAGGACTTCTTTGAGTACACCCAGCTCTTATGAGTACCTGAATCACGTTAATGGAAAGTAAAAGCGTAGGGCATATAGCTGACCACACCATCCCTTCAAATTATCTCTACTTCATTTCCAATATAGTGAAGTCTGAAAGGAGCACTATGCTACAAAAACACCAGAATAATGATACTAAAAGCAGCATTTTAAGAAATGCTGATACCAGTTCATTTAACCACAACTATTTAACTTGAATATAGCATATTATAATGTTAGTGGGAATAACATAATTTTGATAACTTTAAAAGAAAAACGAGTTAATTTTGTTTCTACTAAACAGAGTACCCTTTCTAGTGTTTTTCTATAGGGAATTATTGATGGATTAACAAACTCTGTTGAAAAAAAAACCCTGGTGGAAAACCCTTGTGGTTTTGAAGAAACCCGTGTGGTTCAATTTAGAAACCTATGAAAAACCCTAGTATATCATAGAGAACCATAGTGTAAGTGAAACATTCGGGTATTTACATTATCTTTGTCTTGGAATTTTCATTGTGATTTCGCAAATTGAAACGTTACTTTAAATTTTCGGGTTCTATTTATAATAAGCAAAAAAACCTTCGTGTTTTTTCCACCAATTCTAATTACCCCACTTTTTCACAACACTTTCCTCAATGAATTCTAGCTGGCATTAACCCCCAAAAGGTCAACCAAATTTAGTCCAGTCTGCTGTGTTTTTAGCTGTCCGCTTCGTGTTTTTCGTCGCAATCTTCCCCTTCATTCTATTAAAAGCAAAGCGTAAAAACCCTCTTACACAGCCATCAGCATCGTTCTTTCTTATACACCATTTTCTTGTCTTAGAGATTCGCTTCTCTAGTTTTTTTTTCATCCTTGTTTAGATTGAGGGCTAAGCGAATTTAGTCTCTTCAGAAATATAGCGCGACGAATGCGTAACTGAATTCAAAAGCGAAGAAATTGCCGATCGGAAAATCTTTTGCAATTTTTGCATTCTGGAGATTTTTGTATATTCAATGCGTAGCTTGGAGATTATCAAGGATATATAGTTTGAGGTGTTGTTTCTACAAGATGGGTCATTGGATTATGGAGATTCTAACAATGTTTTTTTTTTTATTTTCTAAATATTGTTATACAGAAGTCTTGGAGGAATTTTGGTGTAAGGCAGTGTGTGAACGTCTCTAATTTGCATGTTAATTGGAGATTATTTTCGCCAGCGGGCAAATAATTTAATACACTAATACACCTGTTAATTACTTAATCATATTTTTAAAATTATTTGATTATTATTTTTTATTGAATTATAGTGTGAGTGACTCTAGGCTACTAACCATAAATGAAAAGGCACGCTAGTCGTAAGTATTGATAACTATATTGAAAGACTTGTATTAATGAAATATCTTTTTTGGTCAGTTGTTTTCTGACGTAAATTGAATAAAAACAAATTGAAATTATCAATAGAGAGCGAGACTGTTAGCCCACAAGGACTGTACAGTAAGATGAATTAATTGTTTACTACAAGGTCTGAAATAAATTGGGGTCATTTGGGGTCATTTTTAAGGGTAGTTTTGTGCATAAAGTAAAAAGTAAAGTTTCTTATTTCATACCTTAAAAATCATAGTGCATATAAAGTAGAGTTCCAAGATTCTTGATCTAATTATACAAAGAGAAGGTGTATTAAGCATTATGTCCAGCGACCTTTACTTTCCCTGAGTCAGGTACCCCTTATAGCTGGGTGGACTCAGTGAACAGCCAAAACTCGAGTGTTTTCGGCAGTTATAAGAAATATGAAAGAATATATTGTCTATTTAAATTAATATTTGTCCTAATTTGCATGAGAGGGGACACGGAAAGGTGGGGTGGGGGGGCGTTGCCCCTGAAAAAATGCATGAAAAAAACTGTGGCTCCAAGCATTAGATTGGGCATCATTAGTACAAAACGACCCCACTGATGAAATATTGCAATAAGCCTTGGATAAATTCTATCAATTGATCTTATCCAAATCAAAATTAAAGTTCAGTGCTCATATACACATGCAATAAATAGTTCACCTAACCGTCACCCCTGTTAAGTGTCATTGGTAGGTCGGGTAAGAATAGTCTAGACTTCTTGTGTAGTGAGTCTGTGAGTTAAGTTTAACTATGTGTGTTTATGTATTGTTACCCCTAAGTCGAATGTATGAATAAAACAGGTGTGAACGATTTTGAGTAGGCTTTTCGGGGCTAGACATGTAATATTACTAGTAGTAAGTTACGTTGACTTGTGGAAAAGTCAACTAAATAAAAGGACTAAAAACTGTGTAGCATTTGGTTGAATTGGATGAAAGCGAGTCTTAACAGCCTGTCAGAGGCGTAGCGAGGGGGGGGGGTGCGGACCGCACCGGGTGATACCCGACCTCGCTACGCCACTGCAGCCTCTATCTAGTCAGTTGGACTCACCTAACACGCCCAGCCGGTAGTTTAGAGTGACCACTATGACGTTTCCAAAACTTGACAGGACACTCCCGTCATAGGCGTTTCCGGTTCCTGTCTCGTAGCTTTCCCCGTGTACAAACACCATTACAGCCATGGGCGTCGTTTCGTTCCATTCTGGAAAACATCAACCAAAAAGTGGATTTTTTAAAAGAAAATTTAATGTATACAAAACAGGAACAGAAAGTTGTCTAAAAAACTAGAATGTATAGTTATCATACACAGAAAGTTGAATAATTTTCTATTTTGATTCCTCTTTATTTCTTCTTTTCTTTGTTCTTAATTGTAATGTTACAATATAATTAAGTATTACGTGTCAACCTGTTATGCGCCATTCAGGCCGTTGACACATATGGTTGAATTAGAAGTGAGATGGAGGAGAGGTAGCGATGAGGCAGAGATTGTGAGGTGAGGTTGATATAGTGGTAAGGTAGAGATGAATTGCAGGAGAGAGATGAGATGTGGGATACTTGCATGACAACAAAATTATCGTTAACTGACAAAAATGTCAATGACTGTATTGAACTAGGCAGCAGTTGTTTGATTTAGAGTTTACTCTCATAGATGAGTTGCCCGCCCCAAGCTATCTAGCCTCACCTGAACGGAGGTTCAAACTTTGGACTATTGGTTTAGCAACCATGAGCTATACCGACCCGACCTCACCGATCCCTCTAATTAGTCTTTTAACTTTTAGAAATAAAAACTCGTTTAAAATAACTACCGCACATATTGGGAGTTTATTTTCTTCATTAGGTTTTGGTATAGAGTGGTGGTATTTAGGAGGAGAATTATAAAAGCCACTTAGGTTGATGGTTCAATGACATTTCTACTAATACGTGAAACTGTATTGTTTGCTTTTATTTGCAATATACACGTTAGTTAGGTCTGTGTTTGGGGGGGGGGGGGGGGGGGAGGGGGGAGTGTGACGAGAGTGTGGGAAGGTGGAGTGAAAACCTGAGAGTATGGGTGGGGTGTGTGGGGGTGAGGTGAAAGTGAGGTAAATGTGAGGGCTGGGGGGTAGAGGTAGAGAAATGTATGCAGCAAATCTAATTTACATACTGGTGGGGATAAGAGCAAGTTAAAGTGTGGGTGGGGTGTGTGGGGGTGAGGTGAAAGTGACATGCATGTAGCGAGGTAAATGTGAGGGTTTAGGTACAGGTACAGAAATGTAAGCAGCGAATCTCATTTAACCATCGCTTAGTGTCAGCTACAACTGCTAAACATCAGCGCGTTTTTCGAGCTGGTTATGTAACCTGCCAGGTAATGCTGAGTATGTTAAAAAAATAGATCAATTGCCGGGATGGCTGCTGTGTGGTAGATACCACATGATGGGCGGGACAATATGGAAAGGTAAAATCAACATGTCAGTTCGTCTTCGTGTAACGGTCATTACAGGAAGTCGGTAACTTTAAGCAGAATTAATGCAACTAAATCGACACTCCCCGTCCTTACCTCCCCCTCTCCGATCAAACAACCAATAAACCCTTATGTTAATAACATGACATTTAGAGTTATTTTTATATAGTAACAACCGTAATGACAAAGATAGTAGTAAATATCATCCTTCATGCATCACTTAACATTCAACGGTTGTACCCCAAAGCTCTCCGACTGAGATGCTGAGTTAAATTTTGAGTATACAAGTATATGCGTGACCTAATGATAAAGCACTAGACTTCTAACCTTAAAGTCTCGAGTTCGAATCCAGGTTAAATTCAGTAAAACGTCCTTGTCCAACCAGCTCTTATGTGTACTTGACTAACGTTGGGAAAATTAAAGGTGGCTGGACATAAAGATGACCACACGATCACTTCGAATACCGAGGGCTCAGACAATGGTTAACTCTACTTCACTTGCCTTGTGGACTGTCCGGCTCGAAAATGGAACTTAACTACTTTACTTAACTCAAAGCCCACCAACTGAATGTTGTTTATATTAAATTAGATCGTATCTACAAAGATAGTAACCCTTTTATCACGCCCGATACACCGATATCAGAGAATATCTTTCAGGTTTCTTTGAAAAACTGAGTTTGATTACTTTTTTACTTTCTCGTATATACGAAGTATAGAGAAAGTATTGTAATCGTGCAAAAAAAAATCGAGAATTTTACAAATCTCGACGTTTTCCATCTCACTGATACGGAAAAACATAATTTTGCAATCATGTCCGTATGTCTGTGTGTCTGTCTGTCTGTGTGTCTCTGTGTGTGTAAACACGATAACTTGAGTACCGTTACAGCTAGGTTGATGAAATTTCATATATAAGTATTTTATCAAAATCGTAGATCCGTATCCACTTTTGAGCGGTTTCCGATAACCGGAAGTGGTACTTTTTCTACTTTGAATTTTTCAAAAGCCTATAACTTGAGTACTATTTCAGATAGATACATGAAATTTCACATGTAAGTAAAAGATCTAATTCTCTACCTTCTGTCAAATTTTGAGTAATTTTCGTTGACCGGAAGTACTAATTTACGCTATTTCCGATTTCTCAAAAAACGCATGTAAATTTATAAAGTACTAATAATATTGCGCACTATTATGCTCATCTTTATTTGGCGTTCACTTGGTGTGCAATTCTTTTGTCTACGAGATTTTATTCTATTTTTTAAATTTTAAGTATTTAAAATGGATTAAAAATCATGTCTATAGCCCGAGTTCCCATCCCCTGTTATTTTATATAAGAATATTCGAGAAAGTTTAGGGGAGATCACTCCCGGTTTATTTACTCTATGCTCAGGTACGAATTAAAAATTAATTACATTTTTAAATTAGTTAATTAGTTTACAGTGCTGTCTTTGTTATTAGTTTTACCTGTTAAATTATTCCTCTTGATATAAATCTATGCTTAGCCCTTTGTTTTTTTTTTTTTTTTTTTTTTTTTTTTTTTTTTTTTTTTTTTTTTTGCGAACACAAATCCCCTAGGATCAAAGTCTTTGGGTACTAATTATAATGAGACCCTTACTTCAAAACACACGCTTTTCGTTTCTGCGATACAAGTTGTACTTGTTGATACTATAGTTAAGATTGTACTCTGAAGAAAAAACTAGATAACAGAAATAACTCAAATAACGGAAACAACTCAATAAAAATAAACTGAATATACGTTGCACCTGGGTATAGGATTTAAAAAAAAAACCCGCAAATATTAAGATACACCGTGTCACTTATATTTAAAATAATTTTAGGCGTTTTTTTTAATATTTCAAAATGACATCATTTCGTATTATCTGAAGTCTATCTATTTATGTAAAAGCATTGGATGATCATTAAATATTGGATACAATGCCTACACTAATTTATATATTTAAATTTGAAAATTGTTATATTTTATATAACACTAAAGTATAACTAAATCTAAAAAATGTAAAAAAAATTAAGGCCAGCACTTTAGGATTTTTGAGGAAAAGTGAAATTTAGGAAATTTCACTAACTAAATTATTGTTAAGGTGCACCAAACGATGCCTAGTTTGTAAGACATTACATCACCTGTTCAGACTTATAACCTCCGTCCAAGTTCAGAATTTTTAACCTTTATCCTTTAGCAAGCAGGTAAGTTTTTTTTAAATCTACGTATCAAAACACTGTGTTTTTTTAACCTAATTTTTTTTTTCAAAAACAACGTCATAAATAGCACGCCAGACATTATTTAATGGAAAAATTGTGTTGCAAGGGGAGGCTGTATGTTACCTCCCTTCATTTTAGTGCATAATTTCTGTCAAGAAAAACCTACTTTAAAAACTCACGTCAAATATTTACGAAAATATTGATAATTTTGTTTTTGACCTAGTTTTGTCAGATAAAAAAGAAAGCTATTTTTTTTCTACAAAGCTGATATAGTTTTAAAAAACAAAAAAAAATGTTTAATGACCTTGTCCGTGATATAATTAGATTTTTGCTAAAGTGTACTGGCATGTTTCCAATTATAGCTTTTTGCGCGGTGTCGAGTTTCGTTAGTTGATATTTCCAATCAAGCGTGTTCATGTTAATGGCTCTATTGGACTGAAGTAACACAGTCTTGACCGTGATACAGATTCCTTTTGAAGTGAGTCCTATAGACTCTCTAAACCCCAGGTGTCCTGTGTCGTGGAGATCCTTGTGGGTTGTGTAGCTTGTCCCGACCCCAGGAGTTGTGTAGCTTGTCCCGACCCCAGGGGTTGTATAGCTTGTCCCGACCCCAAGGTTTGTGTAGCTTGATGCGACCCCAGCGGTTGTATAGCTTGTCCCGACCCCAGGAGTTGTGTAGCTTGTCCCGACCCCAAGGTTTGTGTAGCTTGATGCGACCCCAGCGGTTGTATAGCTTGTCCCGACCCCAGGAGTTGTGTAGCTTGTCCCGACCCCAAGGTTTGTGTAGCTTGATGCGACCCCAGCGGTTGTATAGCTTGTCCCGACCCCAGGAGTTGTGTAGCTTGTCCCAACCCCAGGGGTTGTGTAACTTTTCGCGATCCCAAGGTTTGTGTAGCTTTTCGCGATCTCAGGGGTTGTGTAGCTTTTCGCGATCCCATGGGTTGTGTAACTTGTCCCGACCCCAGCGGTTGTATAGCTTGTCCCGACCCCAGGAGTTGTGTAGCTTGTCCCGACCCCAAGGTTTGTGTAGCTTGATGCGACCCCAGCGGTTGTATAGCTTGTCCCGACCCCAGGAGTTGTGTAGCTTGTCCCAACCCCAGGGGTTGTGTAACTTTTCGCGATCCCATGGTTTGTGTAGTTTGTCGAGACCGCTGCGGTTCGTGTAGAAAGTCTAGTCTTCGAGGGTTATGTAGGATATTAACCCCGGGGTAGCGCACTATGTGAGAAACCCCTGGATGTCGTATTGATTGTTGAAATCCCCTGGGTGTTGTGTAGCATATCGAGACTGCGGGGGTCGTGTAGAAAGTTGAGACCCCCTGGGTTTGTGTAGGATGTCAACCCCCGGGGTGAGGAATCCCTGGGTGTTGGGTTGCTTGTTGAAACCCTTGGGTGGCGCATAGCAGTTGAGAACCCAGGGGGTGGTCATCATGTCGAAACACTTGGTACGTTAAAACGTGCAATTTTTTGTACTGGTTGTCTGACGTAGCTACATCATTTTCCATCACAAAACGATACAAATAGTTTTTTTTAAAGCAATTATTCTTTCAA